GGCCAAATTTTATTTTGATGTTGAAGTTTGTTGCAATTGGTGAGTCTACTTTGTACCATAATTTTTTATCGAGTCAGTTGTGTAAGGCTGATTACTTATTCATATGTACTTTTTCATAACATTGTTCATTTAAAGTACATCAAAGTTAATGAAACATCAACATTTATCAACATTGGTCAGTGGTTAGGGAGCATTAATTGTTATAAAGTTCAATAGAGTGGGAATAGGTCAGTGGTGTAACTGTCAGTGGTATAACATGGGAAAATGTTACACCACTGACAGTTTTTGCTACACCACTGACAAAATGTTCATTTAAGACACTTGTTCACAGAACTTTTTTTTTTTTTTTATTGGTTCCCTGGATTACAATGTCATGATATGTAGAACAGTGATGTACAGACAGATGGATGATGTACAGGTATCAATATCATGTTAATACACATTTATAAGTCAATAAAAGAGAAATATGACCTCAGGTAAATTGGGTGCATTTAAAATTCATCAAAGTACTGGGAAGAGAAGACCCCATTTATGATTGAAATCTTCTATTTTATTATTTCTTTTGCATATATGGTTTTCCACAAAGAATATTTCTTTCAAAGTTTTTATAAATAGAGTTATGTTTGGATGCGTATTTTTAATACTGCATACGTAAATGTGTCTTTTTGCTGCAATGATGATGTGATTTAGTAATATATTATGATGTAGAGTACCAAACCAAACCATATGTTTTGATAATAGCAGTGGATGAGGGTATAAATTGTTAAGCCAAATTTGCAGGTTTTTCCAAAAAGTTTGTGTCTCCTGACATTCCCAGTACACATGACAAACACTCTCATTTAGATCATTGCAGAAACAACATAGACTGCTATCAACCTTTTTCATCTTAAAGGTCACATGCAACGTAAAACACAACTTTGCAGATTCTGATACTTTTCGGTATGGACTTACCGAAACAAATCGTCAAAACTGCAAATTCAACTCATAAAGTTGAAAAATAACGCGATGAAAAAAAACGCGCGAAATCGGAGTTCAAACGTTTCACTAATTTTCCCCAGACTTTTCTGGGGAAAACGGGTTTCAACAGCTGGGCTGCGCCATAGCACGCAAGCGCAGTGAAATAGGTTCGCGCAACTTGGAAGCGGGGTTGTCCGGGAATACTCGTGAAGGCTTTGGTGTGAGCTATTTTCTAATGTTTTGTTGATATCTCACAGGCGCCGAAGCTTTTATATGTTATGACAGTAAATAAACTGTTTATATAATTTCACCACACGCTTCTTCTTACCAAGTCACTTTCTCAGTTCGATACTTAAAAGCAATGTCATTATTTAGCTGACAGAATTTCTAACTGTGATATAGATATGTCGTTGTCACAGACAAAACTCAATGTCTTGTTTTATTGACATCTGTGTGTCTGCCTGCCTGTCTGCTAATGACAATATTCAATACACATCTGCTATCACTGACCACATGCAATTTGAACTTAACACCAATCAGGCTATACACCATAAACAAAATGCATTGATTTATGGCCCGAAGTTCGGTCTCTGTCACATTATGTAATTACACAGACAGGCAGGTGTGATAGTTGAACACATGACATGTTATGATGTCTGTTGACTGCAAAATGTTATACACAAAAAATGAGCATGTATTTACAAAACCCAACATCTCTACATATACACACACAATAAGCCGTGAGGGCATATGCAAATGAACCAGCCGTTACACTTGAGTGCACACCCACCCGCTCTGACTGGGTTCGGTATCCCGGCTGCTTCGTTTCTTGGGAAGTAAACCGAAGTACACAATATTGCACTTTTGATTTGCGATTGTACGCTTATAATTTTGTTTATATGTTTTTTCATAACCAGCAATGTATATTATATGTCACGAATAAGTGATAATTGTGTTTGAATTATGTTTGATTTTTTGGTTGCATGTGACCTTTAAGCAATTCTCTTTTTGTATAAATAACTCTTTGTAGATAAATCTATATTGAAAATCTAAAAGTTTTGTGTCTTGCAATCCTTTTCTGTATGCTGTAAATATATTTTTCCAATCAAAGTCTATTTCAGGAAATAGCAGCTGCCATTTATTACACATATTTGGGTGTATATCATTGGAAATAAGTTTATCATAAAACTTCCTGCAGCCTTTAGATGTTTTTACTAGATATATCTGACATTGGTTAATATTTAAATCCTGACTGGTATTAAATGACAGTGGTTAAGAGTATTTTTCCAAGAGTCAGGTAATACATGTAGTAAATATTCATAATCTAAAAAAGTGCCTTTGATACCATATAATTCTTTTAAAGATTCTATTGACAATAATCCAGTTTCATCACACATATCCCTAATATTTATAATCCCTTTATCTGCCCAGTTCTTTATGAAGTTTAATGGATTTTTAAAATTATGATTAAACCATAATGGTTGGGATAGAATTTCATTAATGTTATTAGGGTCAATATAATGTTTTTTGTGGAATAGTTGCCATGCTTTTAGCACATCACGCCAAAAAGGATTTTCAATCTTAAAGTAAGTTTCAGAATTTGCTCCAAAATTAAATATGTCTTTAAAAGGTATATTGCATGGATTATTCTTATCACCTCTTTTGAAATACTGTCTTAAAGTAGATAATTTCAAAGCGCCTATAAATGTTTTGCATCAATCATTCTCAAACCTCCTTCTTCATTCTTTAAGATCTGGTGTAAATTTAATACCTAGCACATCAAATTCACCAATTACCCATTCAATTTTCAGATCATTACATATTTTATCCATAGATTTAGCTTTGGATTCACAGAACTTAACTGCTTTGCGTTGTATTTATCCAGTATATTTTATTGCCATTAAGTCATTTAAAGTCTGTGAAGGTAATTTGTTCTGGTATATTAGTATATAAAGTTCAGAAAAATCAGTGGTGTAACAAAAGATGTCATTGGTGTAACGATGTTACTGCAATACGTTCATTTTATTGCTTTTAATATTATTTTTGAAAAGCCTTTTAAAGTCTGAGTGATCAGAATTTGCTATTGATCTGTTCAACTCTGTTAATGATCAATTAAAGGCAATTAATTTGAATTTATCCATGAAGTTAATTCAAGAAAAATCAGTGGTGTAACAAAAGATGTCATTGGTGTAACAATATTACTACATTATGTTAATTGTTTTGTTTTTTTATATTATTTTTGAAAAACCTTTTAAAATCTGAGTGTTCAGAATTTGCTATTGAGCTGTTCAAATCTGTTGATTATGAATTAAAGGCTATTAATTTGGATTTAACTTTGCAGTAAGGTAAAGAAAAGTCAGTAGTGTAACACAACATGTCATTGGTGTCACAGTATTCTTTGAATTTGTAAATTTTATTCTTACCTGTTGATATTATTTGTTTTTCAATGCCACATTTTGAAAATCGTTCTCCAATGATGATTATTAAGTAATTCAAAGCATCATATGGCTGTTGATTGGGTTTACTGCTCTAGTAAGTTGCAGAAAGTTCAGTGGTGTAACAGGCGGGGTAACAAACAATATCAGTGGTGTAACATGCGTATTTGCTAAGATTTAATTATTTCAAAAGAATAATTTAACAGTTAGACTGATATTTTATGATAACTGAAAGCAGCTTTAATACCAATGTATACATCACACATGTTTAGTCTTAAGTATACAAGTTATATCAGAAGAAATATCATATGTTACCATTTCATTCTTCTCACACCAAGACATTTTTGCCAAATTTACAATTAAATTTGTGAGAATAATGAAATGATTTAATTTATATTTAAAAAAAAAAAATAGTTTGTAAATAGTGACAAAAGTGAAAAATTCCTAATCTCACATCAAAGTTTGAAAAAATTACTTTTATGCTTGTTACACCACTGACGGGTTTTTTTCAGTGGATACTTTAAAAAGTTATTTTAAAAATATTTTGTTACTTTCCTGTGTGCAAATTATCATGACTGCATTTTTTAATGTGTTGACCATTCAAAACAATAAAGAGATAATTCAATATGATGCTTTGTATTTTCATATTTTTCATAGCATGAATTTGGCCTTTTTTTGAGAATGACCCGAATATGTCTACTAGTTATGATTATGTCAAATGTTTTGGCATGTATATAGCAAAGTAGAAGGAGAGTATTGAAAGGTTCTTAAGTTCTACTCCAGAAAGGAGCACTACCACCAAACATGTTGCCATAGAAACGCAAAATTATTCTATTCAGAATTCAAGAACTACCAAAAGGCACCAGTTCACCACTAGACATATCTATGTGCCAAATTTGGTGAAGAAATATTGTACGGTTTTAAAGTTCTGCTCCGGAAAATGGGGCAGTACCACCAAATTCAGTCAAAGTCAAACTTGTTACCATGCAAACGTAAAACAAATAATTCATTCAGAAATCCATAACTATCAAAAGGCACCAGTACACCACCAGACGTATCTATGTGAGAAGTTTTTTGACAAAATAGCGTACAGTCTTAAAGTTCTGCTCTGGAAAATAGCACCAACAACAATTTCAGTTGAAGTCAAACTTGTTGCCATGGAAACGCAAAAAATATATTAACCAGAATTCCAAAACTGCCAAAAGGCACCAGTTCACCACCAGACCTATCTATGTGCCAAGTTTGGTGAAGAAATATTTAACAGTTTTAATGTTCTGCTCCGGAAAAGGCGAATGTGCATGCACGGACGGACGGACGCACAGACGGGATCCATTATAATATCACGTAGTGGTTACTGCCACAGCTACTGTACATCACTCTGACTTGGCAGTTTAAGAGTGAATGAGTGAGTGAGTTGAGTTTTACGCCACTCTTAGCAACACTCCAGCAACATCACGTCAGGGGACACCAGAAATGGGCTTCACACATTGTACCCATGTGGGTAGTCGAACCCGGGTCTTCAGCATGACGAGCATACGCTTTAACCACTGGGCTCCCCCCACCGTGCCATCAGGACAGAGGAAACATGAACATGATGGTTTAACTCACCAGAATATTCAGTCTACCAAAGTGTTTGACTGTCGCATCAAGGACATTTTTCACATCGGCTTCCTTCACCAGGTCTCCTGTGACAAGGAATGGCTGCAACAGACAAAGGTCGATAGGTATATTGACTGTTAGCATCAGTCTCATCTGTCAAGACTTACCAATATACAGAAAATCATTACTGGATATCTCACTGCTGCTTGTCTCCTAAACAATTCTGACAAGGTGTTTGACTTCAGATCAGAAGGTCCATAGTTTGAATCCTGAATAATGAGACGTGATATTATACTAACCATCAAAAGTTTAGACTCACTTAAAACACTAACAATATGTTATGCATATATGTGTGGTTACATCGAAGATGAATTTCTCCACTAACTTTGGGGAACCAACTGAAAACTTGACGCAGATGAATTGCACGAGGATCATGCATTATATTGCTAAACAGCATGTGCAAATATCGTAACCCATCACAATAATCTTTTCAACGTTACGAATTTGTTTTATAATACCTCAATTCATGTGTAGAACGTTTATACAGTATGGAAAATTTTGCAAAATCTTGTTTAGAAGTGTTGACTTAAGTAAGTGGCTACATTTACACTAGTGAGTCTAAACTTTGATGGGGAGTATATATTATATATGACACACATGCATAGAAAGCTAAGGTTTAATAATCATGGAGGTGGGGATATTTTGTATGTCACTGCTTCAACACAACCAATCCACATTATTTTTGAGTACAATCAGCAAGTCCAGTGAACTTCCATTAGCAGACACTGCACTAATGAGCAGTTACTAGTACTAGTTAGTGGTGGTCTGATTAATTGAAATAATCGAAGATTGGTCACAGTGACTAAACAATCAAGCAATCAATTTTGGAACACTTTTTTGCATTGACAACATTTTTTCAATTTTCACAAGGTTGGTTTTGTCTGTTACATTTCATAAGCACTACAAGCTCACTCCAAGTCATGATTGAAATTATCTTAAAGAGTTAATGAAATTTATGTTCTTAACATACTAGTCATCCTTAAAATATGTGAAATTTGCAAATTCATTTTGTGCAATTTGAAAATACCCCGAAAGAACGACATGTTTTTTCTTTATGTTTCGTGCATTAAGAAACATAACCAGGAAAATTTGATAAATGATGCTAACCAATTATTTTCAATGATTTATTGGTTGTAATGAACCAATCATCAATTATGAGATTTTAACCAATTCCCAACACTAGTCCCAGTCACGGTCAAATGAATTAATCGCAGTAGTAGTAATCAGTAATTAAAAGTCCCATTCAGTACTTACTAGTCACAGTCAATAGTTACTAGTCACAGTCAGCAGTTACTAGTCACAGTCAGCAGTTACTAGTTACAGTCAGCAGTTACTAGTTACAGTCAGTAGTTACTAGTTACAGTCAATAGTAACTAGTCAGTCAGCAGTTACTAGTTACAGTCAATAGTTACTAGTTACAGTCAGTTACAGTTAGTCAGTCAGCATAGTTACTAGTCAGTCAGCAGTTACTTACAGTCAATAGTTACTAATAGTCAGTCAGCTAGTTACTAGTTACTAGTCATTCCATTAGTTACAGTCATAGTTACAGCAGTCAGCAGTTACTAGTTACAGTCAATAGTTACTAGTTACAGTCAATAGTACTTAGTCAGTCAGCAGTTACTAGTTACAGTCAATAGTTACTAGTCACAGTCAGCAGTTTCTAGTTAGTCAATAGTTACTAGTCCCAATCAGTACTTACTAGTCAGTCAGCAGTTACTAGTTCCAGTCAATAGTTACTAGTTAGTCAATAGTTACTAGTCCCAATCAGAACTTACCAGTCACAGTCAATAGTTACTAGTCACAGCCAATAGTTACCAGTCCAACTCTGTAGTTACTAGTGACAGTCAATAGTTACTAGTCCCAATCAGTACTTACTAGTCAGTCAGCAGTTACTAGTTACAGTGAATAACTAGTTACAGTCAATAGTTAGTTACTAGTCTCAATCAGTACTTAAGAGTCACAGTCAATAGTTACTGGTCACAGTCAATAGTTACTGGTCAGGGCCGGTGGGGTAGCCTAGTGGTTAAAGCATTGGCTCGTCACGCCGAAAACCCGGGTTCGAATCCCCACATGGGTACAATGTGTGAAGCCCATTTCTGGTGTCCCCCGCCGTGAGGTTGCTGGAATATTGCTAAAAGCGGCGTAAAACCACACTCAGTCAGTTACTGGTCACAGTCAGCAGTAATAATTGCATTCTGTTATGACACAAATCCTTGACCAGTGGTAGTTCCATAAATCTATTCTGACCACAAGAAAGTTGGAATGACCTATATTCTTACAGCCACATAAATCATGGGTCCCGTATCAACAGGTTTTCATATAATGATCACTTGCTCACACAATAACTTGTGATGGATACTGTCAGATCAGATGATCGATACTAAATATTATACAGCAAACATTTGTAGCATGAAGATGAAAATCCATCACAATTATACTAATGAGCACATTATTCCAACATAGCTGAGGCAACGGCCATTTGTTAGTCTGTGTTGGGTGGGGTTGTGGGGTATTTTGTATAAAGACATCATGTCATGCAACAATGTAATTTTATAGTTTTTCTACAGTATGAAGCTTAATTATTTGGGTTTTTAAATTACTGGGACAATTGTTTTCATATAAAATCCTTGAATATCAAATCATTGGTTCCTGAGACAACTAACTTTACATATTGCTCATCAGATTAAAATATTCATCATTTACACACGGGGTCGGTGGGGTAGCCTAGTGGGTAAAGCATTGGCTCGTCACACCGAAGACCCAGGTTCGATTCCCTACATGGGTATATGTGTGAAGCCCATTTCTGGTGTCCCCCGCGGTGATATTGCTGGAATATTGCAAAAAGTGGCGTAAAAGCAAACTCACTCACTCACTCACTCATTTAAACACAAAAACATCAGTCAGTGTTTGTACTTACAATAGAAGATTAGGTCATTACATTCCCAGGTAAAATTAGTCAATGAAACAAGAAGGTAACACATTTATTGGCAGGAATGTGTTTCCAACAATAACTCCTAAGCATGGAATACCTTTTGAGACGTACTCTTCTCACACTCGGCTCCAACCTGCTGGAGATTCTCCTCCTTCCTTCCTGTCAGGGCAACCTGAGCGCCAAGTTTGGAGAAAAGGACTGCAGTTGCGGCACCAATACCAGAACTGGCACCTGTCAGGCATACATCACACTTTTACAATCAAACACATCACTGGATTGTCTGGTCCAGACTCTATTTACAGACTGATGTTATATGTCTGGAAAATTGCAGCTACTTTAAACAACAAACAAAACAAAGAACATAAGGACTGTTTCCTATTTCTTTACTTCTATGTTTATTGTCACTGTGCAGTCCCTTCTGGCTTCTGCGACAAAGTTTTAAAAATTCTGCAGCAAATTAAGTAAATTCTGCATCCCATCTTTCAAATTTCTGCAATAAATACTGTAGTTGAAAACTTGAAAAAAAAACCCAACAAAATAATGACATTACAATCTTCATAAAGATCGATTTGGTGAACATAACTGCAGTGTCAAATTCAAATAATATTATTGTAAGGTGCTTAAGAAAGGATTACCTCATGAATAAATCATCTTTATTCGTGAATATTTTAAAAATATTGTTATAACAAAAATCTTAGTTCGTTTTTGTGTAACAAATCATACTTTTGACATTTACCCCTACTTTCTGTTTCGGTTGATGTCAATCTTGATATTTCAAAATAAGTAAATTCCGCTGCAGAAAAATGGCAAATTCTGCAGGTATTCTGCATGAAAATGTGTTTTCCACGGACTAGACGTTTTTCTGCATCAAAAGGTAATTTCCGTGATTTATTCTGCAAATGTGGAATCGCGGAAACCAGGAAGGACTGAAGTCTGTGGTTAGGGTGAATATATGCACTGCTGTCAAATTGTGCATACAGCAAATTTTTCTGAAAAATGAATCAGTTGTTTTTCTACAAATCATGTAAAGAAGAATCTTGAACCAATTACTTGTCTATGTAACTGATTAACCATCTTCATGATAATTAAATATTTAACAAATCTACAGTGCAATACTGGGTTCTACCTTATCATAGTCATGACCTCACTTTATAGTCACATGAGAAGAGCCACGTGGTCTGGTCTTCAGTGTGAACGGTTACGTTCAAGTCGGTCTTCGAACAATTTCTTTGAGTGTCATATCGAGTTGGTGTGATGAACAATGAGGACAGTTCTATGAATATACAACTTCTTTAATATAATATGAACGACGTTTCAGTGTAGCTACTCACACCGTTATGAAGCAAGTAGCTACACTGAAACGTTGCTCATATTATATTAAAGAAGTTGTATATCCATAGAACTCTCCTCGTTCTTTGAACAATTGTTCACTTTCTGTTTGGAGTGGTTATGTATGTTCACCACTAGGACTCTGTCGGTGTCGTGCATAGCTTTGGGTCAACTTGTAGGAGGTGTTTTACCGTGTGACTTTGAAGCCACGTGAGACATGGACCACATGGCTGCCAATACAGCAGACAATGTCCAAAGTGACATGGAGAGTGAATTACTGTCAGACAGTCCTCCTCCACAGAATTGTGTGAATGGAAAGGGGGCTGCGCAGTCTGAGGAAAACCTTGGACATTGTGTTATAAGTTGCATGAATCCTGAAGGAACTTTTGTATTTTTTGAAATTATGAGTGTCATTTCATCTCACAGAGCATCTTTGTGTTGTGGTTGTGTGGTTGTTAAGTGCTGAACAAGGCATTATAAACAGTAAGTTTGATCTCTTTGATTTGTTGTTCTTGAACACATAGTTTAGAAATCTCACCTGACTACGAAGTGATGTCACGACTATGACAAGGTAGAATTGAATGATTACACAAGACTTCCCTGTAAGTTTAGTTGAAGTTTGATAGTGGTTTTACCGAGTCATAGTCAGGAATGAAGTAGTCACATGCCTTCCTTGGATACATGTTTGATGTTTTTCCGCTGTTATTATTCATGTTCATATTCGTTCAATCATTCTTTTAAAACTGAAGACCAGAGCATGCTGCACTTCTCACATGACTTGGACTACTTTATTCCTGACTATGACTTTGTAAAACTAGCATTCGAAATTAACATCGGTCCTTAGACCCGAAGCCAACTGAAAACCACTCGGATCCATAGCTTTTATTTTCTGCAGGTCCTTATGGTGTATTCCCAGAGTGGCCCCCCTGTCTATTACGTAATAGCCACTCGCAGTAATTGGAACAGTGAAACATATGCACGTGCGGTGCGTGATGAGCGTTAACTTAGACTACCGTAGAAACCAACCCTTCTTGTTCTCGGGGTTTCATTTAATCTGCATACCCCCGTGTAATACAAACCAATAATAATGATTTGAAACTATGATCGTCTGTTGAACAACTTTTATCCTAAGTTGAATGAAATTCTCAGATTTAAACGTTCAAATGGCAAGGTAAAATTATGAGGATTCGCAATCTTAATTTCACTTTATTTGATTTACATTTTTGTTTGAATTGAAATTCATCGGTACGTTTTCACTGCAAACAGACTATAGACCGTACGCATTCCAATGATTGGGGCATGTGGCATGATAAGACATTTTATGACCGCTTCCATCACTAACTGACGTGTGATGTTTATTGTGTTTACAGTGTACGTGTATTTATGGCTTTGTAATCCCACACAGTTAATGAATGATTGACTGAATATAGTCATATTGCTCAACTGATGCATATAATGCAGCACTACAGACACACTGCGTGTACCCTAGGCCAGCATAGAAATGTAGAACATTCAACTCTACGTTAGCATGCAACCCGGCTCTAATATTGATATCGGAGGGATTTTTAAAAACCATTTTCATATCCGATCGGCAATCGCTAAAAATGAATCAATGAAATCGGTACATGAAGATGAGACCAAGAATTAATTTTACATCACTTGTCAACAATATGTTAAACAGTGACACAACCTGTGATTAGTGCAACCTTGCCAGCGAGGTTTGCAATGGAGGCCGCCATCTTGAATGACCTTCACCTTTCAACAGCTGACCGGAGGCGTATTTGAAGGCGATCATGGATCCATTCGAAATGTATGTATTTCACAACGTGTCATTTGATTTACAAGTGGATATGTTCACGGATCCATTTTTTTATGTACAGTTATTTTTTTGCAATCATCTTTTTTACACGTGACCTCTTGTCGATTCGATATTTTGCTTTTGTTACTGAATCTACTTAAATTCGTTTGATTGTTATATTTGTAAGAAAAGGATTCTGTTCAAATATGCTCACTCAGGTGGCATTTTATTCTGTGATGAAGTTACCTGTAATTAATGCAACTTTTCCTGCGAGGTTACCGAGCGATGAGTCCATGGTGTGTGAAGCGGTGAAGCACCTTTACCGAAAAATCAGGTCAGGTTGTGTGGACACTGATAATCCCCGTTCAACATAGTAACCTACATTGGCTATCGCATTTAGCAGGATCAGACCCATGTGTGATAATACTAACACACTGTGCATCACTACATCTTGACAGTACCACTACTTCTTAACGTGTGACGTCAAACCCGTGACATTCGCCTGAATGGTGTGCGGCTCACCGCCCCTACGTAACTTGTGCATCAAATCTTGCCCTAACCATAAGCATATCGCCATAACTTTGAATATTTGAAGTGAGTTAGTGAGTTTAGGTTTTACGCCGCATTCAATATTATATCCCGGCTAATTATAGTGGTGGTCTGTAAATTATCGAGTCTGGACCAGACAATCCAGTGATATGCAATTTACGCAATTGGGATTCGATGACTTGTGTCATCCAAGTCAGCGAGCCTGACCACCCGATCCCGTTTGTCGCCTCTTGCGCAAAGCATGGGTTACTGAAGATCAATTTTCACCCGGACCTGAACACGGGTCTTGAATCTATAAAACTCTATGTCCCCATGGTCGGCTCGGAGTCAGTATAATGTGTCTGAGGGGTGTATTCATGCTACATATGGTATGTTGCTGCATGGCATCTCAGTGAGCAAGCATTATAATACCTTTATAAGTTTGGGCTAGAACAAGCAACCACTAATACACATGCACGTCGTCATATGAGCTAAATAATTTTCAGTACGACGTTAAACCCCATTTCACCTCACCCCACCATATGTGTTCTCGCTCTATGCACCATTACTGACATTACTGGCTGAGCATGATCACCAAAACGTCGACAGGGATTAAGGGGAGGTTACTCGTCGAGGATTAAGCACAAACCAATCGAGATCTGTACGCGAGCCTGCAATCCCAATACAAGCATGGGTTTCTGAAGCATCCTAAATATCCTGAATCAAAAACAAATGGATAGTGTTTATTATAAATACACATAGAGAATCTCACCCAAGTGTCTACTGATATCAATTATATCAACAGTCGTTGATAAAGTTACAAATATCCGAGGCTTGCCGAGGTTATTTTCACTTTTATCAACGAGTGTTGATATAATTGATATCAGTAGACACGAGGGTGAGATTCTATTTATCATCAAAAATCATTCTTCATTAGTTTTCAATGAAAAATGTACATCTCTCAACACTGTACTACCATTAGACTTGCTGTGCAGTGATGTCATAGCATTGTGACGTCATCAAGTTGATGACATCATAGCATAGCATTGTCAGGGCATTGTACAACATCTACTGTCAAACCAATCGAGATCTGTACGCGAGCCTACATATGATCTCACACAAGCGATATCTCCTGTGGAACACAGTTTTGGATGATAAACGGTTTTACCAGCACGATAACGTGATAACCTGTTCATCACGTATGTATGATGTTGAAAACATTATTTTCATGTCTAACTAACGAAAGATTGAAGTTTTCCTGACTAGCGGGCATTATACAATCTTTCATACGGGTGATTAAAATTATGTAGGATTCAGATGCTGGGGGACCGTGGCTAGGTTTTGACGTTTGACTTATGACGTAAGTCATGTGAGTGCTGCAGGGTTGTCGGTTGTTGATCGGAAGAAGGCGATGCTGGAGAATTAGGTTGATGTACCGATTTGCTGTCAGAGTTTCCTGAACCACAACCAAGGCAGGTCTCAGGGTGTTGGATATAGCCCCCACACTATAACACTTCCGCCATCGAATCTGTCGACCTGCCAAACGCAGTTTGGTGCTAAACGTTAAATTCGACGTCGGTAGACACGCTTTACGTTTGAGAGGTGAACGTAATTCATCACTCAACCAGAGTCCACGTCTGTAGGGCGTTGTTCTGTCGCATACGTTGTCGCAGATGCGAACGCTTCTGTAAAGGGACAAATACCGGTCTTCCGGGTCCAACGCGTTTGGGCCAATGCCCTCCTCAAACCAGGGACATGCTGGTGGCTGTAGCGTGTCGGTGACGTAGATGAACGACCCGGATGTAACGATCTTGTGCAGTGGAGGTTCCTTTTGGTGGGGGGTGGGGTGGGGGGTAGGCTAGTGGTTAAAGCGTTGGCTCGTCACGCCGAAGACCCTGGTTCGAATCCCCACATGGTTACACTGAGTGAAGCCCATTTCTGGTGTCCCCCGCCATGATGTTGCTGGAATATTGCTAAAAGCGGCATAAACCAAACTCAGTCAGTCAGTCCTTTTGGTTTGGACACCTCTCGGACGATGTTTGGGTTGAACAGAGGCAGGTTTGCCGAGATAAGGTGTTTGGGGAACGTTAAAATGACGTGCAACTGTAGACGAGACTCTTTAGCTTTAATGAAATCCTGTGGGGATATCGTGATTGACAGCATTCAGTCTCGGCATTTCCCCACGTCTAGTAAGTCGAAAGTTTCATGAATAAAACAAAAATCAACATTCTCATCATCTTCCTGTTTCTGGTTTTTTAAGAGTGTAACATTCCTCTGCGGGTTATGGATTTTGTAGTCATTACAGTCTTTGCAGCTCCAGAATTGTTTCCTTTTCACAGCATTAAATATACACAAATTTGTGAATATTAAGGAACATGTATTTGTTCCATATTTATCGGCGAGTGAAAATACCCATGGTATTACCCGTGGTATTCTAATGTGCTTAGTCTTCTGCCTGTGTAATGATGAGAGGTGAACTGAGGTGCATGCACGTGTGTATGAGTGTGTGTGTGTGCGCGCGTGTGTGTGTGTGTCATGTTCGCACTTACAGCTATGTAATGGCGTTAACCCAGTGAGATACCATATGTGGAATTGCATCGTGTTGCCTTTTGAAAGTTTTCCCTCCCACTGCACCATGCTTTCAAAGGCTGAAAGCTCGTCATTAGGCATCTCCAATTTGACCATACAGACATCACTATACGAGTGTTTAACAATTTACAATGTAATGAAATGTACAACTTATACCAAGTTCTTTCAAAACGTTTTGAGGAGCGAAACCGAGTTAACACTGTTCTAAAACAACAAATCATACGCTAAATGGATCCTGACAGGCAGGCAGTGCGCAGTAATCTGTTTCTAACAAACCCTACACTCATTGATTGTCGAAGAAGAGCACGTTTGGAATATGGGTAGACTCCGTTCAAGGCCGACAACGTACAGTCAATACAAACTCACATTCACGATGTCAGTATGATCTGAAAGACCCGAACTGCTGATTTTTTTGCCCACCAAATACCAAGGGTATTTGAATCAATAAATGAAGAAAGGCTGCTAACGGATTGTCACTAGCTAACGGACATTGCCGACCAGCTCACGGACATTACCGATCATCTTACGGACATTGCCAATACGCTGACGGGCACTGCCGATTAGAGACGGACATGGTCAAATAGTTGGCGGACATAGCCGATGTTCTCTGAAAACATTGCTCGTCATGGAAGAATACAAGAATAACAACCGTTTAGGATTGCTGCGTACCAAGCACGTGCATACGAATCCTGGTGAATGTACGTATGCATCCTTTGTCGACCTACTACACATCATTACTTTCACAACATGCTTACATAGATCATGGTGGATATTAACAGTCACTATGTGTATTTAATGTCATCAATAAGGGCTGTATTTCATGCAAAAACATATATCATATTGTGACAGATGGCCATTGTAGCTGTTTCTGGGAGGTAATCAATAGTGTACTCTTGCGATCTATAGTGGACACTTGCGCCTTTGTCAACGATGAATACGCCCTTTAGTCAATCTCAGAGTCTTTGAAACACATTATTTTCCCCCTCCGTCCAGGCCATTCTGTTGGGTAGCCTGGAAGTTAAAGCGTTCGCTAGCCATAACAAAGACCCATGTCTTTAGGTAACATTTAGAAGCTGGTATGACGAAGAAGAACACTTTCGTATGGATAGACAACTTCTTATTGCAAATTAGATGCGACATTTCGATGTAAATTCTAACACCGTTATCATTTGCTTGATGACGGTGTTAGAATCTACACCAAAACCTCGCATAGATCTGTTTGCAATAAAGAAATTGTCCATCCATAAACAAGTGTTCCTCTTCAATAGAAAAGTCCTGACTAAAAGTCAAACACAATTTTTTTGAGGGTCAGGATTCTGAATTCCCTGTCTCGCAAGGGATCATTTTCAATTATCATGAAGTTGTTTGGTTCTGTCAAAATATAACTATACTTCAGTATGGGATGAGTCAACATTACTTCAACTGGTGGGTAAGATGACGACACGTTCACGCGTGGCATCGCACAATCACCAACTCAGACGTTTTGGCCGTAGGTCAGCGGTCAGCCTTCCTTATGGAGCAGACGTTCCTGTCATCCTTCGTCTGAGTCTGGTATCTGCTGAGAGTCTATCGCAAATCCTAGCCGATAGCGCAGCTTGTCCAGGTCTCAGCACTCTAAGTCTTTCACACTTCCTGAGTGCCAACAACAGCATCGTGTCCGTCAACTTCACATGTCTCCCCCCATGTTGGTGGTATATCTCCGTTAGCTTATAGGAATAATTGTTATGTCAGGTGTATTATCCCTGTGTGCTATTGGATGCTGGGTCATTACACACAATATTAACTTGCTTAATGCTAGCGCTTTGTAATTTTGGCGTTTCTTCTTAACTGAAGTTTGTCTCCTTCTACAGAAAGCAAGAGTGCACCAAGGACTCTTACGATTACAATAATATGTCTTTGAAAACTTCGTTCTTTTGTGTATATTTATTTTGCCGAGTACAATGGGTACACGGGATATACGTTAATCAATGGCGAAGAGGGTATTGTGTGTGTTCTGTAGGTGCTGTTTGACAAAGTGTGTATTGCAGATGATACGTTATTTAGATAGACAAGGTGTTAATGCAGACTAGAGTTGTACCTTGACTGCAATAGTGTGCGATCCAGGTGTCTGAAGGTACACGTTACTCAACGACAAAGTGTGTAGTGCTGGTGTCTGAGGGTGTACGTAGATTGACAAAATGTGCTCTGCAGGTGTCTGAGGCTGTACGTTGATTGACACAATGTGCTCTGCTTGTGTCTGAGGGTGCAAAGTGTGTATTACAGGTGTCTGAGGGTGCACGTAGATTAACACAATGTGCTCTGCAGGCGGTGTCTGAGGGTGTACGTAGATTGACACAA